TGCATTTCTTCTGTGTTGTCACAACAGGCAGGAGCTCAGCCTCTTCCCCCCGCTCCTCCATGGCAGGCTGGACACGCACTTGGCATGTGGGATGAAGCCAACAGGAAACCTTGAAATGGGAAACCACTGAAACTACCAGTGGTGCCTCCTCCAGTGCCACACTGCCCATCTCCTCGAGGGTCATAAGATCTCCACTAGGATTTTTGTTGAGTTGGAGATTTTTTTGTTTTTCCCACCATGTTCTTCTGGATGCCTGCACCATAAGTGTTAGCCTGCTGGCAGATCTGGGCATGTATTTTCCCAGTGAGGTCAGTCGAATAGCATTCAGTTTCTGTGCTGCTCCATGGAGTCCTTTCTGCACTTACCTGGGCTGGCTTTAAACCAAAGAAATCAGGTTCTTCTGCCAGTGAAAGGGGAACAGAGAACTTTACCAAGGCTTTACTGCCCCAAGGATTTACACAGGTTTAGTGGTGCATGTTTCCACTCAGTTATGACTCTGTGAGCTGAATAATCTCTGCATCACTTCCACGCTGCACAGGCAGATTTCTAAACAAGAAGGAATATTATTTTGTAATGGAAAAATTGAAGTATTCAGTGATTGCAGTGTCAAGAGAGGCACTTTGGTATACCTTGTTTTTTTCAAGGTCTTACGTCTGCTTTGGGTTTGGGGGTTTTTTGTTGATTTGTGGTTGTTTGAGGTTTTTTGACTGGAACAGTTTGACAGGTCTGACACTAAACTGTAGGTTATTTTGATCAAATGTAACACAAGATTGAGACAAAAACTCCAGCACCACTTCTCTGATGCATGAAAAATCAGTGGTGTTTGGATGAGCATGAGAGAAGGACAAGCAAACAAAACTCAACAAAGTACCTCTACACCCTCAGAACCATCTCTGGTTCAGGGGCTTCCTGAACCAGATGTGATTTCAGCTTGCGTAGTAACCCTTCCCTCTGACTGTCCTCAGGCTTCCCTGAGATCCCCATCACCTTCTAGCACCCAAAGCATCCCGAGGCAGGGATTTCCCCAGCAGACTCACGCCTTCATTTCATAGAATCATAGAATCATAGAATGTTTTGGGTTGGAAGGGACCCCTAGAGGTCATCTAGTCCAACCCCCCCGCAGGAGCAGGGACACCGCTAACTAGATCAGGCTGCTCAGAAAAAGATTTTCCCCATCTTTCCTATAGGCCCCCTTTAGGTACTGAAAGGCCGCAATCAGGTCTCCCCGCAGCCTTCTCTTCTCCAGGCTGAACAAGCCCAACTCCCTCAGCCTGTCCTCATAGGAGAGGTGCTCCAGCCCCCGGATCATTTTTGTAGCCCTCCTCTGGACCCGCTCCAACAGTTCCATGTCCTTCTTGTGTTGAGGGCTCCAGAGCTGGACGCAGTACTGCAGGTGAGGTCTCACCAGAGCAGAGTAGAGGGGCAGAATCCCCTCCCTCGACCTGCTGGCCATGCTTCTCCTGATGCAGCCCAGAGTACGGTTGGCCTTCTGGGCTGCCAGCACACATTGCCGGCTCATGTCCAGCTTTTCATCCACATTTCAAACCTGCCCTGTCTAGTTTCACTTGATGCCCCTTTTTTTTGTCACAGGGGAAGACAGAGTGAGCAGTAGGTGCCCACTGGCATGTCTCCATGCCACCACTCATGATTTTACATATCTCTATTGTGTCCTCCTGACACCTCTCTCTCTTCCAAGTGGATGGGATCTTACTGATTATCTGTTGTATCTGGGTTTTAGCAATAAGAAAGTGATATTGGCCACCTTCAGTGCTAAGCAGCAATTATTTCCTTTCTGAAATCAAGCTTCCTGGAAAAGGAAACAAATTTGTAGTTTTAATGTTGCACATCTGTGTGTGAATGCCTGAGTACAAATCTAATTTTTCACTGAACAGGATTCAGGGTGTGAATAACCCTACCGTTTTACCTATGTTCTTTTCCCATTGTTTGATTCTGTGAGTAAAAAGATCGAGTACTTTCACTTTTTCATAATATTTTTTGGTGAAGGGAGAGACGTAAGAATCATGTTTTGTTTGTAAACATCCCAAGTGTTCAGAAGGTCCTGGCTGTACCTCCAAAATGGTATCCCTCTACCATTTTGGAAAGGTAACCATCCATGATGAGTATCTGTATTCTTAAAAAAGCGGTGCACATCAGAAAGATTTTTTTTTAACCTACCACATTTATAGTAAATCTGGCTTCAGTGCTTGTTTTCTCCACCTCTTTTCAACCTAGTTTCTATAATCCCTTCACTTCTTGGGAAAAAAAAAAAAAAAAGTGACACTTGGTGTCCACAGAACAGGTTCAGGGGGTGTGTGCATTTGACATTCCAGCCAACAGTTTCCATTGACCCCCTCAAAACTGTACAAAACCCGGTCATCTTTCATATACCCACGCATCCTTCTGGCTCCTGCCTTTCCCCTATGTCTTGAGCTCCACACATCCTGGCCCAGGGGAGGAGGTCAGGGGTGTTCTTGGGGGTTGCTTCTTGGAGGTGATTAGTGTTAACTGCTAGTCGAAGCAGTGATGGATTGCTCCCTGCATTGTAGGAAAAAAGAGGACATATATTTAACTGAAGCTGTCTGGAGCGAGACTGTTTGTTTAAAAGAGAGCACTTTATTTTCTTGGTGCCAGGACCCGTAGTAAATCAGTAACTTAACAAGCATACTTGGAAAAGAGATAACTGTAAGTAGATGGACAGAGTAATGAGGAGCATTTATTGCCTTCAACACTGAAAAATGCCTTAACAAATGCTCAGGTCTAAGCATGTGCTTTATATCCCAGTGTTCTCAGTAAAGTCCTGAATCAGGAGCCTGCTTAAGTGGGGGCTGTTTCACCTACTGACTGTCTAAAATCCTTGACATGCTGATTTTTGTGGGATTTTTGTCAGCCAGTCCAGTCTTCTACCGCGTTTTTTCAGACCATACCCATATAAAACAGGAACACATACAGTCACAGCCTTCAGTGACTGGGAGGAACTAAATTGAATGTGATCTAGTGACCTGAAGGTGAAACATCCTGATAGCTTAGCTAATTGCCAATGCTGAGATCTACGCAATATTCACAGAAAAAATAAATAATTTTCCTGTCATATTCCTCAGCCATAGCTGTGGCACAAAATCAGAGGGTAGAGGTGTGCGGCCAGGCTGCCTGGAAGGCAGTGAAAAGGAAATGTGAGCAATATTCCAATTTAACTCCATAGAAGCCCACCAGCTAGTAAGTAGTTCAAGTATTTCAGTGCCTGCTGTGTTGCTGCCTACAGGGAAAATACTCTAAGTGCTTTCCCTTTCTCACAAAGAAAAGAAGTTTCCATCTATGTTTTATAAGGTTGTCTTGTCACATCCATTATACAGCATGATGCAACTGGCCAGAGAAGGTATTGTGGTGATTTCCATCGTGTGTTTTAGCGAGAAGGTTTTTGTGAGGGGTAGAATACAGAGAGAGAGAGAGAGAGAGAGATTTTTTAAAAAGTATTTATGTATATATACACATATAAATGTAGGTCAGTGAACTGTGAAGATGTAGGTGCCTTATGCTGGCCCATGGAGTGTCAGATGAAGGGTGTTAATAGGCATATGTGAAATCCAAACATACTGTCATCGGGCCAGCTTGGCACAAACAGGGCAGAATTATCCTTATTCTGAGAATAATAGGTCATTAACTGGAACAGCTTCTAAAACTACTTTATTCCGGTACATAGCTGCCCAGCTATTTGAGGAAATAGCAAAGAACAGTTCTGTCTTTCAGCCTCCAAAGTACCCTGTTAATATCGCAGAATGAAGAAAAGGGCAAGAGAGATCTCTGAACAATGTTGGGTTATTTTAACCCCTGAGCCATCCAATATCCTGTTCGATTCAAAAATGCAAGGGGGAGATGGGGATTGGAGGAGTGATAGGAGGGATGATCCCACAGACTGTCAATTTTATATAAGGAAGGATTTTTAAAGGTGCATGCATAAATTTTATTTGCCTGTGTGTGCACAGATGCAAACTGTCTTCTGCATCTACAGAGCAGTGAGATGTCAAGTTTTCGGCTGAAGACAGGCACCATTTGTGACATTTGAGTTATCCAAAAAGCCAATTTTCCTATTCTGAAACAACTTCGGCAAAATATTTTTGTTCAGAAGTGATATTCTTACATATTTCAGACAGTGGGGAGTGTGTGTGTGTGTAGATATATACAAAAAATCAGCATGTAAGGGACTGCAGTGTATTAAAGAACTGCTTGACACATGCATCATTTGACTGCTTTGCCTCTTCTGGGTTCATTACTCCAGCGCTCCCATCACCATTCTGATGTCTCACTCTTTGGCAGGAGTGGTCCAGACAGTTATCTCGCTCCATATTTTGCTTTGTTTTGAGTGAGCCTGGCATTAAAAAAAAAAAAAAGTTTCCTGATCTCCCCTGTAAATGAATGTTTTCACTCAAAATGCCCTGGTTTGAGGTCCAATATAAACACAATTTCTGCATAGGCAGCGTCTTATTTTATGCCCCTTGAGGACTAGGTATGAGGGGGTGAAATCCCTGGAAAGCAGCGAATTCCCAGAGCATCAACAGGGCACCAAGGAATGAGACAGAAAAATTGCTTTAGGGACTTAAGGAATGCCAAAATGCTTTCAAGACCTACCTTAATGCTACTGAAATAATTAAATAACAAAAACATGCCTTTACAGGTAGGGAATAAAAACTGTTGTTCCAGTAAAAACTGAGGCTGGTATGGTTATTTGACTGCCTCCATTTATTACTCAGTATTTCTGTCTTGGTTGCAAAATCTAAAACGAGAAAAGACCTCCAGGAGAGGGAACCTGATCTGGGCTGTGGATGGGTGAGGAGAAATGCTCCTCCCAAGGTGCAGAAGACTGATGAAAGGCAAAGAATTGATCCTTCATAAGAAGGTGTTGCGGGGGCACAAAGCAGGTAATTCTCCTCTCAAAACACCTGAGAGAGTCTGCTGCCTGCTGAAGGGAGCAGCCTGGGCACGGATGAGTGGCCACGTGCATGAACATGACCATGCAAACCCTCAGCTGTGGAAATGACCGTGCTGTCCTCGGCGCCACTCGGTCAGCCCAGCTTCTGGGAGCCAGTAAGGGCTAGCGTGTGCTGGTGGCTTGAATTTTAAACAAAGCCAGCTGGGGGGTTATCCCTCCCATTTGCTTTTGCAGGTAAACCCTGTGCAATCTGGCTGAAACACCCTCTCCCCACTGAGCCCCAGGGAAGCCTTACCACCAGCTTCACCAGGATAAAATGTGGTCCGCAACCCGGCTTCCTTCCTCCGTGATGCCACCCACCTGCTTTCATGTCGCCTTACTGTCACACAATTGCACCATGCAATCTGTGGTTTTGGCCCGGCATCTCAAATGCAAAAGCACATCTTTGTCCCTTTAACTTCTCTCTCAGCTGTTATGCCTGTTTTCTCCCCTCCTCTGGGACTGTGCACTCTGTTGCTGCTCCAGCTGCCGGGAGCGGGCGAGGAGAATTTCTCCTGCTGACGAGCAACCGGCTAGTCTGGGGCTGGCGTCTTCCCAGGACGCTGCTGTTTGCATACCAGAAGGCAGAGGAGCAGGTGAAATGGGACTGGTGACATCTGTACAGATGCGTTTGACTGCTTACATGCTCTTACGAATCTGCTATCCTTAAAGCCTCCATTTCTCTGACGAGATCTCTCTCTCTCTCTCTCAAATTATTTTTCCAAGGAGAAGAGGAAAAGGCAGACAGAAATAGAAGGCAAGAGACAACAGCTTGAGGACCAGATACTTCAGCTGCAGCATTTCAAGGTAAGGGACTGATGCCAGAAACGATGGATTGCCTAAATATGTTTATTATTAGACATGCAGATCACACGTCTGAAAGCTGGGAAGAGCCCACTCCGACATGAGGCAGCTTTCACTGCCGGAGCCTATCTCTTGCAGTGATCATGTCCTGCCTGCTTTTCATTCTGTGTGTTTCATGCACAGGACTGTGTTGCAGAAATGGCTTAGGAGTATGGAGTCGGGAGGGTGTGAGCCCAGGCAGCGCGGCGGTGCCGTTATTATTACACACTGTTATTTATTATACATAATGATAAGACACCAATCGCTGTGGATTGGGTGTGCACTGCATGGTTTCAGTGAGCACTTTCTGCCTGCAGAGCTGCATTGGATTTTTCTGGTGCCTGTCATTAGGTTTCAGGTGTGTGTTGCAGAGGGGGTGTTCATTAACATGCATGCATGTGTGTGTGTGTAAAGCTTTAACTGTAGGATGAAGTTATTAGGCGTACATGGCATAACAGAATTGGCATGTATGGACATGCAGGGAGGGTGTTGATGCATACATGTGCATCTACATGAAGAGAGCCTTGATATTTAACAGGGTGCCGAGCAGCCCCTGTCCCTGTTGGACTCCATGACAGCTGCAGATAGCATCGTTTGAAAGCCATCCTGGTTATTTCTATCATTTATTCTTCCTGTCAGTAGCAGAGTTTGTCTTTACATTTGTGGATAGCAAAGAGAAATACAAAAAAGTACGTGTGATCTTTTTGTAGCCAGTGCACATTTATAGGTCAAACCTTACGAGATTAGTTCAGGGCCTGAGGAATTTCAGTGATTAAAATATCAGAGAAAGGCAATCAGGACTAGTCAGTTTGTCCTTGCAGAAAGTGAGCTGGGCTGTGTTTTAAAAAATAAGCTATGTAGGTTGCTTGTGCAATAGTATGTGTGTCTGTGTGAACAGTGCACCTGCGTGGGGGGATGGTGCTCAGAATATCTTCTCTGCCCACGCATGCACTCAAAGACCAGACTTGAAGTTATGCTGTAGACAGGATCCTTCTCCTGCCTCTCCAAGTCCCTGCAATCATGTTCTGTAAACTATTCCTCATTTTCTGGTAAACTTGATGCAGTTAGGCTCAAGTAATTGATTGCCACCTACACAAATGCTCCATCAGGTTCACCATAATTCTGTGGATGTCACACATTGACTTTGGTGTTATCAATCAATGATGTGACTGCATTTCTGTGGGGCAGCAGGAGTTGCCATTTCGATCAGGCTGCCATTGACTACAGGCAAGGGAGGATTCCTTCTGACGGCTGTAGGTTGATGCAGCAGGGCAGTAAGATGCCTTTCTAGTGCCTTCGTGATGCTTGCTTTTTTCCCTTTTTGCTGCAAAGCTGAGGACTTCCTTTATCATGTTAACTGTTTCTAAGCTAACCGAATTATGCTTTTTCATTAAATTCTTTAAGCAGAGCCTTTTGGAAAGCCAGTTCTAGCAATTCTCTACTTCATCTGATTTATTTTGATCTGGCTGCTGCTAGACTGAATTTTGTCATCATCCATAGGGAAAAGTAGAACCCCCCAAGGTGGTGCAGTGGGGTCAGCCCCTTGGCTGGTGTAAACTGGCACTGACTTCAGCCCTGCTGTGCTGATTGCCACTAGTGGAGGCTCAGTCTTGCTGTGCAGATTTCTTGAGTGACACACATGAAAATTAACTATTTTCCTTTATTATTTAGCTCACAGCCTGGAGCAAGAGCAGTAATCATACAAAAAGGTAAGGGGAGATCAGAGCACAGAAATTTAAAATGGCAGCTTCCTCAGCCAAAAGCACAGCCAGACTTAAGGTCTGTAGCGCTGGGTGAGAGGATGAGCATCAAGATATGACAGGAGCTTCTACCACTCTATTCAGTGGCATCTATTGCCATCATAGGAGTGTGTTGCTTTTACTGGAGTGGTCACAGTGTTCTGGTTCCTTAGTGGGGTGCTGACCAAAATGGTATTTGGCCTGCCAGACTGCTTCGTTCATTTGAAAAGCTGTGTATCCTCCCCCATGTCCCCAAGGCTCTCCCTCACCTCAGCCCAGTTGCTCTGAGCCTCTGCAGCCAGGGGCTCCCAGTCTGCTATGCATATAGTCACCCCGTCTGATATGTTCACCCAACCTGGCTCACAAAGCCCAAAATCAGTGCATCCATTTTCCTAGGTAGAACATGGTTCATTCCCTGAATTCTGTGCAAGATACAACTCCAGGTCAAAAACACCAGGCTTGCCTAGGAAGCCCGTGTATTTACTCAAAATGTTGTGAGGTTGTTGATGTCAGTGTAGCGTGTAAGGACTTTGTATCAGTATTCAGTAAAATCAGTTGAAAATAATATCTGGGTTAATCCTGTGTCTGCAGTATCTGGGTTGATCCCACAGGCAAAACAGCTTGAGTTCACCCAAAGACTTTCAGGCCAGAATTCACCGGGTTTGGTTCATTTATGTTTGTTGCCAGGGTAATTTTCTTTTAAGAATACACTGTGCAAAATAGCTTGTTTGCTTACCTAATAAAGGTTCTGGAAGCTACAGGGGTTGTGTTAATTTCAGACCATTTTGTTGATGTAAGAAAAATATCTAATAGAAATACTTTATTGCAAATGTTTATGCTGGACTACCTACAGTTTTCAAGTTGTTGATGCCAATTAGACCCCTGGCAAAATGGCTTAACTCTACTACCTATTCATTCATTTTTCCCTTGTTACATACCTGGCTGAAAATAAGGGAACGGTGGCTGCTGCCCCATCATTTTAGGTGGAACAGCCCAGCAGACACTAGAGTTAGTAAATGTCAGCACCAAACACAGCAAGGCTTTGGCAATACATTTTGCAAAGGCTCCTAAGAATGAGGCCAATGGTTTTATGGCTGAGGACACCAGGACAAAAACGTGGCTCAGCTATTAATGGTATGTGTGAGTTTCTGAGTTAATCAAGTGAAACCCTCCAAGTGTGAAAGTCTGGAGTAGGAGAGAGTCTGGAGTAGTGTAGGCTCTAAAAACTGAATTCCCTCATTGCTGACAGTGAAGGCCATATCACCTCTTCTACAAATCACTGGAACATAGGGACGTTGATGGACACAGGGCATCCACGTGGCACTTCAGGGCCATCAGGGCACTCCGTTGAAGGCAGGAGATGTATTTGTCTATGTTACAATTGGATGCTTCATCGGAAAAGCCCTTGGTGTTGGAAAATATATGAAGGTGCTTTGAAGCCCCATTTTTTGAGACTGAACATGCTGTTTTGCTCTGTGGCAATTTACAACAGCTCTCCTTACCTGCCACCTACTTTCATATCTTCTTTCACATAATACAAGATGTGTTTTGTTTTGTTTTTTAACAGTAGATAGAGTTTAAACTTCATGCATCAGCAGTTTATTGGCCATACTCTTACATACGGGGCTTGTCATGTCCATGGGAACTGGAGGTGTTACTGGCTTCTATAGTTTGAAATAGGAAAAGTGGGCAAAATTCACCTTACGCAAATACACTGTCTACAAACACCACCAACCTTATGTGGTTTCTTGTGGAAGACAATAATTGATTTTGGTTGATTAGTTCCACTGCAGACATAACCTACAAGCAACAGCTGCTTTAAAGAACTTGTTCGGCTAGGTAAATGTTGGGCAGGCCTGTTTTAGTGGAGATGTTTACTATTTCAATTAAACTCTAGGGTAGAAGTGTTTCTTCCAAGATCTGGCTGCCTCTGTAGTTAGTTGAACAGAATTTCTATAATTGTTTACTGTAGCTCTGTTAGGTGGTAGCTGGTAATAAACTAAATAGCACAAAACCTCCTAATTGAATGAAAAATGACTTCTCTGCTGTTCCTTTAACTATTACAATAAATCTATTTAGCACAGTTATTTTATTTCTGGAGTGGTATAAGTATTAGGGATCTATTTCTGTTAACATCTGATTCTTGAAGACTGCAGTTCATTACCACTTAATCTATAACATAATTACATCTTTACAGGGAAAGGAAGGGAAGGGAAGGGAAGGGAAGGGAAGGGAAGGGAAGGGAAGGGAAGGGAAGGGAAGGGAAGGGAAGGGAAGGGAAGGCTTTTCATATTACAGAGATTTTGTTAGGGTATGGTTTTATCTGAAGATATCATATCTATAAATACATTTTATTATTCCACAGTTATATCGCTGTCCTCAATTTATTCTAGTCTTAAAATAACTGCTGTCAGAGAACATAAATGGATATATCTATGCATATATATATATATCTCCATATATATATGCAACAGTGTGGAAAAACAGAGATAATTTTGTGAATGAAAAAATCTTGTTATTCCTTAAGTTGAATCGTTTCATGATTTTTGAGTAAATTAACCCTTAAACTGAATGGCAGCTCAAGCAAGCACACAAAAAATGTTTAGTAATGTCATGGATAGTCTCCATTCTCTACAAGTTCACTGCAATAGCCCCCGAAACCTATTCTTATAGTAGTCAAGCACTCTTTCTGGTATGTGATGTTTGCTATGATAGTCCCAGGCTGACCCCCTGTTTTTAATGTACTGGACCACACCACACTTGCGCAAGACTGGAAGGTCCTGCCATCTCCATTTCCCAATGGCAGTTCTGGGACATGGAGAGGTTAAGAGCTAATTTGGAGAGAACTTTCCATTTCCAGAGCATAGGGGACCCCTGTTCATCTCTTTGTGTGCATTTGCATCCTTGGGCTGACACCCACCAGGATTTAAGGTGAGAAGTGAGAGGCTCTCTGCTAACCTCTTTCACAGTCCAGAAATGAAATCCAGGTTTGTTAGGCCAGAAAGCGAGTGGGAGAGGGAATAGGACTGCACAGCTTAAGGATTTAGGGCACTTGCTCTTTCTGAGTTGCTTACAGATAGGCTTAGAGTACCGTTGCCAGGCAGTAGAGTTTGGAAAGGAGGGATTTCAAAAATCCTTATATGTTTTCTTTTCAAGTAACCAGAAAACAAAATATCTATCTGCAGATAAAATCTTTTAGCCATAATAGAATAGTTTCTCCAGGCCAGATACACCAGTTGACTACCCCAAAGAGATGAAAGCTTTAGTCCTTTAACTCGTGTTTCTTATCTGCTTGCATGTCATTGCCATACAGCTGAATACACTGTAATTATTCTGGTATAATCCCTCTGTGAGAATGCTTTTATTGAGGAAAAAGGTATTGTTGCGTGAGTTGTATTTCGAACTGGGGCAGAGTTATCCTGGGATGACCATGTAAGTAAGCATCCCCACCAGGAAGGGCTTCCTTGAAACGTATCAAAATTGGCACTTGTGTTTCCACCTGTAACAAGGTCCTTTGAGCAGGTCACTGCCACTCCAGCAGTTTCCATTTTACCCAGACTGTGTCAAAGTAGCTCAAAGGTGTTTACAGCTCACTTCGACCCCAGCCCCTTCTAATGGCCTGGCTCAAAAATTAATTCACATGACCTGAATCCAGCTTTTTAAAACAATGTGTATAAGACATTTTAAGTGTGTATGTGGGAAGGAGGGACAAAGTGAAGCCAATGACAGACCAAATGTCAAAGAGGAAATTACTCTTTCAGAAAACCATAGTAAAAGCAACTGAGGCTGTGCAGTAATGATGACAATTTGAAAAGCCCATTTGTTTGGAGGGGAGAGGGTTGCCACTTTTCAGAATGTCAGACTGTTAACAATTCCAAAAAGAGTTAATTATTTTTTTCTCTCTGTCAAAATCATGCTTTACATCCTTTGAAAACATGGAGCAAGTACTCATAGGGAAAACCAAAGCATAACTAAATTTCTGGCTCCAGGAGGTAAAAGTGTGATCAAACTCTTTACATGTATGTATCTGTAAAAGAAGATCTTACTGAATTTTTCAGTACAACCACATGAAATCTAGAAACTTCAGCTAGCTTGAAGCTACTTCTTACTCTAGCTCCAAAATTCCCTGGGAAACAGAGACATTTTCACAGAGTCATAAAGTAATTTATGTGTGAGGAGACCCTGGAGGTCTCCTCTTGCCCGCACCAACAGGAGCAGGTTGCTCCCGTGCCCATCCTCATCCCATTAAATTTAGACTCTTGCCCAGGGTGGAGGTCCCACTGACCCCCTGGGAAGCCTGCTCCCAGGTCAGACCACCGTCCTGAGGACCACATGTGCCTTCATTGCAGCATCCTCTTTTGCAAGCTGTGTCCCTGCACTGCTGGTGTCTGCCTGCTGGGACAGCCCTGTCCTCTCATCCTTCCCCTTGCCCCTGCAGCAGCTGCTAGCAGTTGTTTATTGTTTGTTCTCATTATGGTGCTTAATCTTGCCACAAGCTAAATGCCAAATAATTGGACACAGACAGCATTATCATCCTGCCACAAAACCTTAAATAGACTGCCTAAAGAGACATACTGAAAAATAAACCCCAACTCTCCAGCATAGGTATCAGCATGATTGTTTTCACCCATTACTTCAAGCAGAACTTTCTGGTAGCCTAGATGTATAGAAAATACATGTAGAAAAGAGCCTATGTTTGAGTTACCTTTCATTTTATCATTGTTTTTTGTCTCAATATCATCTCAAGTACTTAATGAATATTAGAAACTCTTACCTTGTATCAGGCCATACCTATGATCCCCTTCAGTGAAACTAGTCTGTACAGATGAGGGCTCTGTGGCTGATGAATGATCTGAGCAAGAGAGACACAAACTGTGTGTCTTCTCTCTCGGAGTCTTGACAATGTCTCTTGCTGTGGTGGGTTCCCTTGCAGCTGAAAGATCTCGTGTTTTATTTCTTCTTCTTCATCTTTGTATGGAAACAACTGTCTGCTTGGTTTACAAAGTTAAATGAAATATGGGACCTGAACAATTTAAAAGCAATGTATGCAAAATATTTACACTGGTGATCTTGCTAATGGATGGGAAGCTTACTCTAAGAATGTAAAACAATTGGTGTTTTTTTTCCCCCAAAGCTTTCCTAATTGGACCTCTAGCTGTACAGCTGCAATTTCTGTTCCTGAGAGTTTTTAAACAGGCAAAGCCTGAGACCTTCATGAAGGAGCTATAGCTATCACCATACCCAACCCTCAGGTAGCTTGCCACGGACATGCCTTCCCTGTGCATCCGCAGCTCTGGTTGCATGCGACTTACGCTGCAGCTGTGCTCCCACACCCCTTTGCCTTACCACAGGGGCACCCAGCTGAGATCTAGCCCTTCCCAGGTGAACACAAATCATTTCAGCTATCTCAGTCTTCCTTCACCTGTTTCTGCAGTCACATTGCACTGTTTAACGTGTTCCTGTCTGCTCTGTTG